ATTTTCATACACATTTCCTTTTTTTATATCTCATTGTAGACTGCTTCAATGTTTTATACCTTATGTATGAAAATATAAAGTTTTTTTGGTTTACGTTTGGACAAAAATCCCCAAATGGATTTTTATCACATCTAGACACCATAGTAATAGTCTCTTTTAATGTTACCATTAATATCTCCTTGATTCCATTAGAGCTTTTTTCCATAGGGGGAAATGTCCTTAAATATTCACCCTAAGATGATGATAATAGTGCATTGATTTGCTGACCAGTACTGATTATATTCTTTTTCTTTGAGTGAAAAGATTATAAACAATGAGAATCTACTCATACATCAAAGGTGGAATGCATACCAAATACCAAGTGGAACGCACATGTCATCAAATATCACCAGGGAAGATGGACGCACTGTAAGTGACATCAGAAGTTCCAGAATATGAATTTAAACTGGGAAAAATAAGAAACTCGAACGAGAATGGATTACCATCAGCTGCAAGTCATTTGGACCGTCCAATAGGAAGCCACAGAAGCCATATTTCAGGAAGGACTCAGGGGAGGGAATGTATACTGCTTGTTTTTTTTCTTTCTGTGATTTATATAATTTTGTTATTTGTTATTGTATTCATCTATTGCTATACTTTGGAGGTCCCTGAGGAAGTCCTATTTGGGACGAAACATGTAGGATCACTCCTTGCAACTTGAGTTTTTATATTTTATTATATCTTAAGTGTTTTTATACACTAATTTTATTAATAAACAGCAGTTTTTTTGCATTGTGAATACCTGAGTTCAGCTCATTATGCTTCCAGCGCTACTGGGAAAGGAGGAACGGGTTTTGGATTAGCCCCCCACTTTATCGGGGGAGGAACCTTGAGGCGATTTACCACCCTTCATCTTCTGAGTGCCACTTTATTTTGCGCTATTATTTCAGTCAAAAAGTGTTACATTATTTTGTTCTTTTAGTTTTTTAATTTCGTTCGTAGATCTGCAGCTGTATTCTCCATTGTGTTCGTTTCTTTCATACTGTTTTGTAAGGAATATAGTCTGGGATTTTCCAGGAGAAGCCAGTAACAACTATCCATAGAGATAAGTGTATCTTTTTTAATCACACTATTGATTTGTTTTAAGTGTGGATGAGATTTTGTTGTTTGAAAAACATAATTGTATGTCTGATATGATTTGTTTTGGATATGGTACAATTAAATGTAGGAGTCAAACATTTTTAAATAATTCCCCTCTAAATTCCCCCTTTCTTTCTTTTCCTTTTTTCTTTAATTTTTTTCCCGGTTTCTTATTTATTGTTCTTCATATTATAGTTTTAAATCTTTCTTTTATTGTTGCATTATAATTATGTTTATTTCTTACAATTTGTTTAATATGTTAAGAGTTTAGCAAATACGGCTTCTCTTCTTGGTTACAAGGTGTGTGCAAAGGCTAGACATATCTTAATGCAGTCACTAAAAGTTATTTCTTTAAGTTAAAAAAACATACTTCACCAACATTTCTGCTTTCTATAATATAGTTTAAACAATCCCAATATTTCAAAACATAAAGCAACTCACATGTACAATACATTCCTTTTTCTGAAATCATAGCTGACTTTCCAATCAATAAAACAAAAATCTGAAAATTGCACTGAATACCAGAGAGATGCCACAGAATGTTGTTCTAATAACATTTTTGTAAATGAGATTTCACAGTGAGACGGCAGAATGGAATGAAATAATAGAATGTGATTCAAAATTACAAAAATTCCAGGATCCCATTACTATTTGTGGATTATTTTGACTGACAGATTTATCTCAGCTTTGTACTGTAACACCCTGAAAATAAAGTGTAAGATATTCACAAGGTTTGGAGAAAAGCTTAATAGCTTGCTCTGTATATAGCCCCTGCTCAGGAGGTGTCCAATATATTTTAAGTCACTCGTGTTAATAGAAAGATAACCCATGCCCCCAAACCATCCTTATTTTGGCGGGACAGTCTTGATTTTTGGCAAAACAACATTGCTCCCTCTGGTACACAGAGGCGCACATCTCTCTAGCTGCATTGATAATGCAGAACATACACTTTCCTTTGAGATAGGATTTTTTTCCCAAACTGTACAGCTGTGATAGGCTGTTAGCTATGGGGGAATCCAAGAGATGGTGCCCGTAGACTCTTGGCATCTTGACTAGTACACTGACGTTCTGTGGTTATGTTTCTTTGATTATTCCTTTCACTAAATCAATAAGGCTAAAGTAATTGGAATTTTCAAGTTACTACAAGAGAATTTGGAGTTATCTGGCTTCTAGCTAACAAAAAAAACAAAAAACATCCCCATGTCCAATGTGTTTTACCTTTAGATTTCTACCTTAAATTACAGCTACACTCTATATGTAGTCCCTCTTCAAATTCCCTGGGCGCTGCCCTAAATTGAATATAAACTAAACCATTTATTTGAAGAATGTATGATTCCTTTCTAACTTGGGGCAGCATTGGAATTTGGGAATAGTTTACTTAGCTGTCCTAAATTAATTCCAAGGGGAATCTCCGGTTGACCTCTCCTTTTGTGGGGCATGGTGATGGAAGGTACCCAACTGGTAATGTGATATAGAATCCGTAATTAAGTTACAATTTCCAGGATGTCCATTCTCTATAACAAAAAGTTGTTTAAATGATAATGCGTAACATTTTCCTTAACCTAAACATTTGCTTTCAAAGAGTTTGTGCCATAAAACCAGCTATGCAAAAATGACAAACATTCTAATAAAAAGACTGCTCTTTCTCTTATAAATAAATAAATGAATGATAGAAATTATGCCCGTTTATTTTTAAGGGCATCTTTATTCTCAGATGATCAGCTTTTTCGTTTATCAGTGGAAAAACAAAATAGTTAATGGAGAATTCCCCAACCTCTATAATAAATAGAAAATTTAATGAAGCATACACCTGATTCCTGACCCTTTAACAGTCCATTCCAAAACATAGTGTTCCATTTCAGACTAAGTAGAAGACAGAGAACAGCCCATCGAGACAGGCATTTGTCAAAACAGTAGTTATCCTCAAAATCAAAACCTAAATAAGTGAATGATGTTGACTCAGTGCCAACAATGATGTGGTCACAAGCTTTTAACAATTTTTAAGCATCTTGAAATAAGGACAATTTAATATACAGCATCTATTTCGTCATTCAGTTGAGATTTTCAAGGGATAATAGAATGTGTTATCATTCAAATTTTTCTTCGTTCCTTTTCTGGGATTACATCAAGCAGATAATGTTAAAGCAATTCCGTCAGTTTAATTAAATCAAATGCTACTTCTTCCCTATTCCACTCTGGTTAATTTTATTTATTTTTATTTCTTGCTATACAGAAACTTTAAAAAAAAAATATTTTAAATTATTTTATAAATTCCTAAATACAGGAAAAAACAGGGAGACGAAGGTCTAAACAAAACATATCTTTAATGATATGACTTTCCTCCTGCTTGACTATATTTCTTGCAGAGAGAGAATTTTTGTCAGGTTACTGGGGTATGTGCAGTTTGAGAAAGTGTCTTCTGAAAAGCAAAACACATCCAGAGTATACCAACAGTTCCTTCTGGGTTTTCCAGTATACTTTTAATAATAATTTATAAAACCAGAGTATTTGCAATACAAGCATTCACTGATATTTTTCCTCCCACCTGAGAATGGCCTCATTCAATATGTTTTATTGTATTTAGAATCGGTGAGATGTCCTGATTTGTTAGATGTCCTGCAAAATCCAAAGTTAGAATTAAATTGTCTCAAAAAAAACACCAAAAAACAACTTTGCCGGTTGGAATACGACCTGGTAAACCCAGGTCGTATTCTGGAACATTACATTTTGCCTAAACTTTTTTTTTTATAAATTATTCATAAATGTTAGACTATAACACAGCAGTGTTGTTTTGGAGGATAAACAAGCACATTTGAATTAATAGCAAAACAATGGAAGGATTTATTTACAGTGTTGTAAGACTAGTAGTTATGCCTGTTTTATTTTTAGTATTTATACAGCATCAACATTTTACACTAAACTTTATAACGAAACATTGAGTTTAATTAACACTTAATAAGGGTTAATTAACAGAAGTGAAGAAGGCTCTGCTAAAAATTAAAGGATCACTAAGGTGTCAGGAACACAAACATGTATTCCTGACCCTATAGTGTTAACACCACCATTTAGCCCCATGTCCCCCTCATGCCTCCCTAAAAATAGAAAACTTACTTGTATTCAAGCCTGAAGCTGCTAGCTCTGGCTCAGTTTCCTTTAGACCTGCCCACTGCCTGCTGACATCAGCAGAAGTGGTAGCCTGATCCAATTACAATGCTTCCCCATAGGATTGGCTGAGACTGACAAAGAGGCAGATCAGGCAGAGCCAGCATGATTCAAACACAGCCCTGGCCAATCAGAATCTGCTCACATAGATGAATTGAATCAATTAATCTCTATGAGGAAAGTTCAGTGTCTGCATAGGACACACTGAATGTTTGGATGCATTTTAGGCAGCCATGACCCAGGAAGGATCTCTAACAGCTATCTGAAAGTTATCACTAGGCTGTAATGTAAACACTGCATTTTCTCTGGAAATACAATATTTACAGCAAAAAGCCTGAAGGTAATGATTCTACTCACCAGAACAAATTCAATAAACTGTAGTTGTTCTGGTGACTATAGTGTCCCTTTAACTTACATTATCCTAAGAAGAAGTGGTAAGGAACACAAGAAGAAGAAGAATATGTCAGGGGGGAGGAAAAGCTGATAGATATGATCCCAGTTGTAAACGTGTTATGTAGAGGAAGCATGTAGCGGAAGGAAAGATGATGAAATGGTCTATGAAAGCTCAGGTGAAGTGTGATGAGACATAAGGTGTAATGATTGAAGAGTCATCCACCAGGAAGATGGTAAGAGGTGCAATTTTCAGTGACTTCTTAAAGGAATGGCGGGTAGAGGAATGTCTAATGGGATCAGTCAGAAATCTTTGAGAAATTTTATAGATGAGAAGTAGCAATGTTGAAATGAATGGTGGACAAAAGAAGGTCACTCGAAGAGCAGAAAGAATGAGAAAGAAGGTATTTCTTAATTGAACTGGGATCTGATGACTAGTGGGATTGCTGAGAGTTTTGCAATTTAGAGTGAGTACTTTCAATTTAAATTTCAGTGGTACAGGAAAACCAATGTAAATACTGGCAAAAGGGATGAGTTGTGAGAGTAGCCGTGAATAAACAAAATAACCCTAGCACACACATCTATTAGTGAAGTGGGGCAATGTGGGTAACTGGAAAGCCAATGAGATGTGAGAAATGATAAGAGAGTGAACATGTGCCCTGCATTAAATAAGGGTGACTATGAGTAATATTTTTAAGGTGGGCGTTACATGATTTAGTGACAGACTGGGTGTGGGGAGAAGTAGTTAGACCAGAAAGAAAACTTACGTCAAGGCAGTGAACTTGGGAGATTGGATAATGGATGTTTCATTGACTTTCAAGGAGAATATTAGAGATGACAATAGAATGCCCTTTGACCTGGAACGGGTACTTTTACATCTTAATCTTCCTCAAAATAAATAAATAAATAAAACATTTAAAATTACGATTGCATGTGTTCAAAGCAGTAAAAATTGTAATAGCAAGGAATTGGAAGGGCCAAAATATTCCAAATTGGTACACTATTAAAACTCAACTTATATACCAATTAAAAATGGAACTAGGCATTCCAACACCAGCTAATATTAGACTTTGAACTACCGGTTTTTGGGATAAATGGTTGAAAAAAAAAATCAAACTCCTATAATCACCTCCAAGAGTTAGAAAAAGGGCCTAATGCATGTTTGCGCTACACTTGAAACCAAGCTCCCTCCTATACACTCCCACTAAGGATATATATAAATGTGTTTTTTGTTTTTTTTGTTAAGTATACTTCATATATTTTGAAGAAGGTCTTTTTTACTCTTCCTTCTTTTTCTATTTATGGGGAACTTTGATTTATCAAATATATGTATTTAAGCACACTCTTTATAAATGAATTAACCTGTTTTTTTTTTTTTAATTGTACCTTTTTATGTTATACAAACATAAAATTATGTCTTATTTTATTTTTTTGTATGCATGTAAAAGAAAAAGAAAAACTGAACAATGATGAATTAAAAAAAAAAAAAGAATACTGACAGAGTTATAATTTCAAACTAATATTCAATATTAAAGACAGTATATATTTAAAAGTACGAGGGATATGACAGTGAAAACATTCTATCTGCGTTGCTCCAGGCAAACGGTGTAACCATTTCCAGTTCCTCACACCCTAAACATACGCACATTGTTCCCTGTCAGCATATACAAGAACACCTTATTAGGTAATATAATGAATCCACTTATGGATGAACATACATACTAGAATAAAAACAAGCCAACAGTAATTACCCAAGATTTTCTTTTTAATGATTAGAACTTGCTGACATCAGTGCAGAGCAGGTAATGAGTAACATGTTAAAGCATTTTGGACAATCGAACCCACTTCACTGTTGAAGAATAACTATCATTAGATCAAGCACATGAATGATGGGCAATGTCAGAGCAGGAATCCAAAAAAAGCACTTCTTCATAACCACTGCTTCTCTTAGTAATTTGGAGAACACATTGAAAAATAAACTTCAGTTTAAATTGTTAAGGTCGTGGAACTATGATTTGGCCAATAGACAATAAGAAGCCTAATTTTAAGTGATGTTATTTTTTTAAGCTCGGGGACATCACTCATATGCTGGAAGATAAACAATCAAATGACAGTGTCTGGATGCAGACGGTCTGTTGCAAGCAGCAATTCAGGAATGTCAAGAGGCCTCAATAGTTTTGTGGACAGAACAGCCACCTAAAATGAAAAGAAAATGATAATCAGAGAACAAATTACTCTTATGTTTTTACTTGAAGACTAGTTACCTAAGGGCATGTGTGATAAATGGGTTGTGACAGGTGATGTGGGAATCAGCCTTCCATCTGGGCTTCTCAGTCTCCGAATACTATTGAATACCTCAATGTACTGTACACAGCTCGAATACACCTTACTCGCATTTAATATGCTGTACACAGCTTAACAACACCTTACTTGCAATTAAATGAACACTATAGTGTCAGGAACACAAACATGTATTCCTGACACTACAGTGGTAAAATAACAGTTCAGGTCCCTGGTCCCCTCTCTTCACTTTAAAAAAGTGTTCAAACTAATCATTTTTCCAGCATTGCGCTGGTCTTACGGCAGCTGGCTCCATCCCTAGGCCGTGATCAAATTTGACGATCTCAGTAAATCCGATGATTTCCCAGAGGAAAGCATTGTGAGGCTATTAGGCATGCCAGGCAAAACGCTGCAGTGTGCCAATCAGCATCTCCTCGTAGTGATGCAGTGAATCAATGTATCTCTATGGGGAGTGCTCAGTGTCTCCATGCAAAGTGTGGAGACACTGAACATCAGTACTACACACTGTGCAGCACTGACCCAAGATGTGCCTTTAGTGGCTGCCTGAGTGACTGCCACTAGAGATGTTACTAGGCAGTAATGTAAACACTGCCTATTAAAAGAACACTAAAGTCTGTTGTACTATAGTTCTGTGATTTAGACACCAGAACTATAGTACAACAGACTTTAGTGTCCCTTTAATATGCTGTACTGAAATTACATACTGCTTTAAAGGGACACTATAGGCACAGCTAAGGTTTTTTAATATTTTCTGACGGTCTGCAATGCGGGAGAGGGGCACTATAGACCAGGAACACAATTTTGTATTCCTAGCCTATAGCTTCCCTTTAACACTCCTCATTGACACTGAATAAACTGCACACATCTCTAACACAACTAACTGGTACTAAATATATTGTACAAAGTTTTAATATATCCTACCGGTAATGAATACATTGTACGAAGCTTTGACAAACATTACTGATGGCTGCCCATACACTGAATATTTTGTACATAGTGGTGTAACACAGGTTAGTGTCAGATGAAGACGTTTTACACTCTTCTCTGACATCCAAAATCTATCCAAGCTGTGCAGAGAGCAAAACAATGGGGCTGAAATACATATCCCATAAATCTTTACACCACAAGAGTACATTGGGTAAGATCAAACACTAGAACAGAATGAGACTCTAGATTGGTTGAGCCTCTTCCTCGTCTAGGAAAGCTCTCTGCTGAAGCGAGCCTCTATATTAGCAGCATGGAATCTTAATTTTACTTGTACTTCTGCATCTATTTCTATCTACATAATGCACCCTAAAGAGATTCTTTAAGAAACAGACACATGTAAAATATATTCTGAAGTGTGTTTTTGCTTTCTTTGATCTTATAAAAAGTAAATAAAAGAGTTCTAAAAAACCTGACATTTCTTATTTTCAAGATTTGCTGACGTCCTAAACTGCCTGTCTAGCAATACGTTGGTAATTTTTATTTGTGTTATATTTTCTTTTTGCACAATGGCCATAAAAATCTGCTGCAATATGTTTTATATAGTTAGCATTTACTTTTTAAACATTTTTTTATTAATTCTGTGCTGAACTTTTGACCATTATCATGGTACCACCGGGAGGCTGCATCAACCTATCCATCAGTAGGTGACAACTGAATTACAGATGAAGTTGGCAAATGCATTTCTGCGGCTCTATTTGAAAGCGATGAATGAGAAGTCAAATGGGGAAAGAAATTTGTTTGGAATTGGGAGGATGAGAAAGGGGTCTTTCACTTAACAATGCTATTAAAGAAGCACGATGCTTAACTGACTGCTAAATTGACCAGAAAAATTTGATTTTTAACCCTAAATATTGCATGCAAGCTAAAACTCTAATGAAAATTAGCCAAAATATATGAAGTCATACAACAACTTTTTTTGGTAAAATGTTAGCATTAAAGCAAAAATGCATTTGTTCTCACATACAATAGATAAATACAAATGGTCAAATACCTTGCTCATAGGTATTTGTAAGGACCTTGAAGTCATTACGGACAGTACAACCTTATAAATATTGCAAGAGAATGTGAAAATAATGTCTGCAGTTTAGCATAATGCCCACATACATTAAATATTGTTAAAATCCTATTGTTCTAAAATAAAACTATCTAAAATGCTAAAAAAATTAAAATAAAAAATATATAGGAAGTTTTATCCATGTACATGGTAAGCACACAAAAAGATAATACGAAATACGGACACAATATAACACACAAACTTATGACAATATTTTATACAGCATTAAAGGGAAACCCTAAAGCACCAAAAACATCAAAGATCATCACAGTGATTTTGGTTCAAAGACTTTGTTGGTGCTGTCCACCCAGTTTTATGTCAAACTGTTTTGCAAATTGAGAGAAAAAAATAAAATGCAAATCGAGTAGCGCCTACAGTTATGCCCCTTTGCTGCAGGTCAGCAAATACGTAAGTGAACTTTCACATTAAGCTTTTCAACTTTGGACTGGGGCCCCTTCTAGCTCTCTCATACAATTCTTGTCAACCGAAACAGAATGGGATGACGCTTATGATGTAATATTTTCAAAGTCCATATGAAGCACACAAATTCAGGTGTTTGCTACCATTTCCAATAAGCTGTGCATTTGAAATTTATAAACAATATTTCACTTTTTTTTCATATATAACATTGTGTGAACTTAAGCTTTACACTTATACATTTATATTTATAGCATAGGTCCAGACGCTCAAATATGCACCAACAGCACTATTAATTAGAAAGATATGTTTAAGTTTAGCTGCCACAATCTCCAGATTAGCTTGGTTCACAGGGGCAGCCAGCTTGTATTTTGGCAGACTACCTCCCCTTTTTTAAATGTCAGTGCAAGGAAATGGAGTGGATGGCTGGGCTGAGATTTAAGTGCTGTGGGACTGCATTCATTGACTGTCAGTGGGAACAAATAAAAACATTAACAGGCTGCAAGAGAATAGGAACATAAGATTTCTACGCTGTGAGTGAAAGAGAAAGGAACGTGAAAAGGTTGTGGCTAAAAGAGTAGAGGAATATAACATTGTTGCACATGCTGGATGGGACACCTAACTCTAGGGCCCTAAGTGGCCACCTAAGGTCGCTTTATGCTTAATCCTGCTCTGATTGATGGGCAATGTGAGAATGAACATGCTTTGGGGGAGAGAACAATGGAGACATGCACAAGCTTGTGTAAGGGAGAATAAATGTTTTTTTCTGCTGAGCTTTAAAGGGAAACTCCAGTGCCAGGAAAACAATCCGTTTTCCTGGCACTGCAGGTTCCCTCTCCCTCCCAACCCCCAATCCCCAGTAGCT